TAATGTTTTTTTAAAGGCACTACCTTACCTAAGATAACAGTGAATGAAAAACTAGAAAATAAAATTCAGGTTTTTTGGTTTTAATTTTTAAGATTTGCTTCGTAAGTTAATTAGCTTTGTAGCTACTTTAATTAACATTTCAAATACCAGGTGGTCTTTGTTTCTGTTCCTTGATGTCCCTTGATGTCCCAGAACATATTCTTCTGTCTAAATATTTAAGTCTGACAGACCACAGGTCACCTACACACAATCTCACTGCAACCAAAGCACGAGAGCCTTTTAACCGGGTGTTTGTTGAGACCAGAGGATGTGAAATTTTAACTGAGCAAATCTCGTATTATTAAATGTCGTTAACCTGAGAAGCTGTTCAGGAAGCCATTTAAGGTTTTTGGGGAGGATAAAATGTTCTTTCATGTTCAAATTAAGCCTGACTTTACTTGCATAAAAAGCACTTCTATAAGAAGAGGTACTCCAATCTTGACCTTTATTATCTTTTTGGTATTAATTTATCTTTATTGTGATATAATTCACATGCCATAAAATTCAGCCTTTTAAAGTGTACAATTCAGTGATTTTTGGTATAGTCACAGAGATGGACAACCGGCACCACTCAATATTTCTAGAATATTTCCATCACCCCCAAAGAAAACCTGTGCCTGTTAGTGGTCACTTCCCAGACTGCTCTTCTCCAGTCTCTGGCATCCACCAATCTACCTTCTGTCTCTACAGATTTACCTGGTCTGGACATCTCATGTAAACGGAATCATACAATATGTGCCCTTTTCTGTCTGTTTTTTTTTTCACCTAGAATAATGTTTTCAGGGTTCATCCATGTTTACTTTTTTAAAAAAAAGTATTTGTTAATGGAGAACTTGAACAGAAAACCAGGCAGAGTAGTCTAACAAACCTCACTGTGCTTTCATCTAGTCTCAACAACAGTCATCCTATCTGATGTGAAATGCTGGGGTCCAGGAGCCAAGAGCAAGAAACGATTCTCAAGGTATCTTCGGTGCAAAAAGGGTGGTTTTATTAAAGCACAGGGGCAGGACCTGTGGGCAGAAAGAGCTACACTGGGGTTGTGAGGAGTGACTGACTATATATTTTCAAGTTGGGAGGAGGTTAGGGACAGCATAAGTCTCTAAGGAACTTGGAAGCAAGGTTTCCAGGACCTTGAGGGGCTAGCTGTTGTTAGGATAATGTCATTTACTACTGTCTAGTAAGACCCCAGTCATGAGACCCTTCAGCTGTATATCAGGGAGCCATATGTTTGGAGGATGATCACTAACTTATATCTTGGGGTGGAGGGGTAGAGAAAAAGGAAGTTTCCAAAGGGATTTTTGATGTTTTTTGTTTTTAAAAAAGATTTTATTTACTTGACAGTGAGAGAGGGAACACGAGCAGGGGGAGTGGGAAAGGGAGAGGCAGGCTTCCCACTGAGCAGGGAGCCCGACGTGGGGCTCAATCCCAGGACCCTGGGATCACGACCTGAGCCAAAGGTAGACACCTAACGACTGAGCCACCCAGGCGCCCCAGGATTTTCGACGTTAAAGAAGACTTACAGGATCCTGGCGGTCGGGCTAATGTCAAACTAAGGCTGCCTTTTGCCTTTAGCAAAGTATTAACATTGAGGCAGCTGAGTTCCTGGAGGAAGGTCACCCTGTCTGTCCCAAGTACTTGTCAATGGGCTGTAAGTTGTAAGGAAGTTTAATTTTTTTTCTATATTTCTTTGGCCTTTGTTCTGCACATCATTACCCACACACCCACTGAGGGCTTCCTTAAGTCTGTTTCAGGAAAGGTAGCAAACAAGCAGATACCCACTCATAATAAAGGGAGGAGAAACTAAAGAGGAGAAGGAAAAGATAGAAGAATGCATAGTTGAGCTCTTCTTACCCTTTTGTGAGCTATCAGGAGGCAGTTGGAATGTTCATGTTCACAAGCAATTTCATAGTCGGGGATCAGATCCACCAAGTCACAGACAAAGTGTATCACCTCCTCGTGCCAGGGCACATTGGCCATGGTGAGACTGCTTGCTGAACTCTCCCCACAGTAGGTGACACCCTGGGGAAGCATTACAACAGTTACAGATAATTACAGACCTATTTAAATGTCATCGAACAAGAGTGTCAAAGCCAGAAAGGCTTCTAGAGATAATCTACCCAACCCCAACCCACCCAATCCAATCCAATCCAGTCCAGTCCAATCCAATGCAAAGATGAAGAAAGTAATAGTGCATCAGAGATGATAAAATCTGCTTAGGAGCTCACACAAGTAGGCAGGAGCTCCCAGGCCAGTGCCCTCCCCACCCTGCGACTGCAGTGCTCAGGTACCCTTGCTTCATGCTCATGCGGTCACAATCTATGCTAGGGCAGAGCACTGTATTTGAACCAATAATGTATCTTTTCATTCAGATTCCTTTGTGCACTATAATAGATTAATTCTCAAGGAATTATAATCTCCTGGACCACTAATGGAGGCATGGTTGACACCCACAAAAATTCAGTGAACAACTTACTCACTGGGAAAATAAATGAGCTCCCATTTTCCAGTGCAGCTGAGGTTTGGTAAGATTGGTAAGGTTTTCCTGTAAAGGGCCAGCTAGGGATCCCTTTGAAATTATTCTTTAAGGAGATCACTTGGTAATGCATTTTGTAAATGGATACATATAAACACAGATTCACGCCAAACAGGAAATACATTTGTGGCTATAAATACATCCCTTTCACACACTTACATGTATAAGCATGTGTCTCACCTCTCCAGAAATTCCTGAAGCTTTTAAGTCTTTTGAACTCTCCCTGACGGCCCAGGCATATAGGACCCCAAAGTTTCATAATTAAGTTCTCTCTTTGGTAAGTTACATAATGATGCATTTACCAATAATAAGGAATATCTTAACTTTGTAGGCTCTTTAAATACTCCAGGATCAAACTTTCTTGACAAGTGTTTTGAATATTCTAGATATGCTACTACTAAGGAGGGAATAACTGAAATAAAAAGACATCCACTCACACTCTCTTTCACACACACATGGATGTGGACGCATATGCGCGCGCACGTACACGCACACACACACACACACACAGATTGGAGGGGGTATGGTGCCACTTTATGAAAAAACCCACAGATGAGCACTGTAGAGTGACCATGACCCTGCAGATGGTGGAGCTAGGAGTTGGCTGAAGACTGAGATGAGCTCTGCAAAATGCTTGACTCCAGATGGCTGTTCAAAAAGATTACTGGTATGCTAAACCAAGATGACCTTTGCTGAACATAAACTAGAAGCGACCCAGCTTAGTTGTAATAAACAAGAGCATCTTCCCTATCAGCCCGATGATTTACAGAATTCATTAAACTGAGCTTGAGATTTAGGTGAATTTAAAAAAGCAAATAATATAACAGTTTTAAAAATCTTTAGGTATGGCTGCAAAATTGTGCTAAATTTCCCCAAATGTATACAAAACACAAAAATGATTTATTGGTAGGTCAAATTAGTCATAAAAATGAACTTTATTTCAATTTAAATGCTGTTTATGATATGTGAATTATATGAACAAGCATGTACACAGTAGCTAATACAAAGGAATTTACTGTTCATATTTAAAAAGTTCCTTGAAACAGAGGTTTGAGATGAGAACTTACATTTACAACAAGGGCTTTGGAAAATATTTTAATATTTCCTACTTAGCAATAATAAATCATGAGACATTAAGCACAGACTTGCTTTGGAAAGGCAATGAGAGAATGAATGCCACAGCTGTATTATTATGCCTTCATGTGACACTTTCCCATTCGTTCACATAATGCTTCATACTTAGCCAAATTCTTTTACATAAAAGTTCTCATTTCAGCCAGACCAAATCCTCTGGGGTAGGCAGTGCGAGCAACTTTCTGGGCCAACCACAGAGCCCCAGTGTTCTCTGTGACAGAAGTGCTCTGGGCAGAAATCGGTGTCAGTGAATTAGTCTATGGAGAGTCACCTTTGGGAAGCCCGAGCCCTCCCTCAGTCAGGCTCCTAATGCCCCCTCCTCTGGTGCTCCCTTCTCTTCTCTGGCTACTTCACTCCATCCTACACTCCTACACATCCTAACCGATGACTTGCCCTGATTTTATTCCTGATCTCGCTACCTAAATTGTCTAAAAAGGCTTCATTTTCTGTATCACAGCGGTCTGCTACCTTCTCATCCTACCACTACCCTGCCCCCACCCCCTCTATCACCAGCACCAACTTTTCCCCTCACGATTTTGAAAAAAGAATGAACTCAAGAAAACAGATGGGTACAATGTGGCAACTGAAAAGCACTCACTTCAGAATCTATAGATTAAGGAGTGACAAGCAGACCCAAAGAAAGTTCCTGAAGAACAGGACAACTTATGCATCTCTGGGTTTGCAGTGAAAAGCATAACCCACACCATGACATTGGTGCTTTTCAGATGGATCGCTCTGTTCTAGGACATGAAGGCCATAAGGTCTTTCACTGGCTGCTTGGACAGTTTGCCTGGGGATTGAAGGTCTGTAGGAAGAGCAGTATTTTGTCAGTCTGACTATTTGATATTTTAATTAAACTGACTGGGTGTCAAAAGACCCCTGATATTGTTTTTGTCTCCTATAGTCTGATGAGAAATGTTGTCTTCATGACTTTTTGCACAATATACCCAAAACATGACACCCTATCCTAAAAATGTTTGAATAGCTCTTCCCACAAAAAAAAACAGCCCAAGCTTCTCAGCATGGCACGAGGCTTTCCTACGGAACTGCCCCATTCAGCATCCAGTTTTTACCTGGCTAAATTTTCCACCATGTCTTTGATCTCTGTTCAGGAACCCCTCCTCCATCTGATCCCATCTCATCATATCCTGTACATAGCTTTTACCAGATAACTGGTATAATTCTGTCTAAATTCTGAGCTTACAGAGGGAAGGGCTGCCCGTGTTTTTCTCTGTATCCCCAACCAATCTATGCTGAATGACCTAAAGATCAAGTCATATTCTTCTATATGTCATTAAACTCCAGAACCCTCTTGTGATCTAACATAAAATTTCATTCACATTATTCAGGATTTTTCTGCTCTTTAATGATCAGTTATGAAGCAAGCTGGGGACCGCTATGTGAATAACTGGTAATATTCTTTACCTTTGTGCAAAGAAAGGGAGCGAGGTCAGGCTAAGACATTTGTTTTACAAAATGCACTCTGCAAGGAATGAGCTCTGTAGACAGTTACGGTGCCAAAATCGTAAAGGAGGTTTAAATCATCTGACAACAAATTATTACCGAGCACTTACTATTCTCAAGGTGCAATGCAAGGGAGAGAATATAAAGACATTTGGATTGTGTTGTGAAATTATGTTATGAAAGTTTCTCAATACGGCAGATGTTTATAACATGAAACACATTTTCACAAACAAGCAAGGAAATAATGATCACTAAGATTCTTGGGCTAGCAAATAAAGGCCTCTTTAAGTCTAATGAAGCTAAAATGCATGTTCATTTACAGGGAATAAAACAGAAAAATGTTTTATAAGACTAGCAGTGAAAGAAAAGAGGGAACCAATATAATAAAGAAATAGCTTCTATTGATTTAGTTTAAATAAATGTGCTTAACGAAAAGTGATCTAAATATTTACTGAATCCAGGCATATATTATCCCACTGCATTCTCAAAACAAACCTATTACAGTGATACTATTATTCTAATTTTAATATTGAGGAAATTTAGGCTCAAAGAGGATCAGTAACCTGGCCCAGGCTACATCAGTACTTTTTAGGAATGTATCAAAGCTGTGCTCCTCCCCATTCCCCGCAAGACTCCAGTGTGTGCAGACTAGGAGAGACCCTTGTGCGTGCACGCACACTCACACACACCTGGAAAAGACAAGAGACATGAACAAGTAATGTGTTTGCTTCTGCAGGGAGCCCCAGGCCTATCACTAGCCTACTGTCAATTTGTATTATCAATCTCACATCTTCAGGGCATTTACGTGACCCTGAGGTACTAAAATTTTAATGCCACGCCCTAGTGAGGGTCAGACCCTGGGAGACTTCTTTTTTTAATCAAGAGCACAGGTGAAGGACAAGCTTCCAAGTACCATTCTATGTCAGTGGGTAAATTTTACCCTAATTTGTGCTTTCACTGGAAGTGAAAGGGCCTAGTGTTTGGTGCTTTAAACCCAAGCCCTATCTCTACCAGAGCTACGAAGTACCACCAGGGTGGTCTCTCTTTTTCAAGCCCCGAAGGAACTCCGTTACAGACCTGACAAATGGCTATGCTTTCAAAAGTATGTTTATTTTAACACAGTTACTTCTAAATGTTTGTTTTTGGAGGAATCTGAGGTTACTTAGCCTACCATATTGCTAGCTCTCATCAAATGTTTTTCAGAGAGGGCTTGTTATTACTATTTTTAAAACTCCTCTATTTCAGAAAATTTTTCACTTTAATTAATAAGACAACAACAATAATGAAAATGCTTTTTCAGACCTTAAGCAGTTTAACTCTATTCAACAGGAAAGCCTGCCTTCTCCTTGACTGATTTCATTTCAAACACTGGGATTACAAAAGTAATGGACGCTCACTGTAATAATTCGCAGAGCACGGAAATGTGAAAAATAAAATTCCTAAGCCTCTCCCTGTCCTTCTTCTACATCCAACACTGTGAACAGTCTTATATCCTTCCATACTTTTCTTATATCAATATATCCAAATGTATATGGTTAAAAATATAATCAATAAATATTCTAGAACTTGTTCTGCTTCCTAAGTATACTATATTCGGCAAACATCCCTTTTGCTACTTCAGCTTAAAAGGAAGATACTTCATTAACCTGCAGGACAAATCAGGGCTGAATTTAACAAAGCATGTGATCCAGTCCTCAACGGCTCAGGTACGGATAAGGCAGGCCGTTTCTCCCTCAGGCCTTCTACAAGAGACGAGCTGATCGCCACCACGCTTTCCCCTGATACAACTGTTATGTGTTAGGTTATATTTTACCATTCACGTAAGAAATTAAAATTGAGATTAGATTATGTATTTCTCTAAAAATTTTTAAATAAGATCTCTCCAAGTGACTCACTTTACTTCTGTAGACTTTGCCTTGTTTAGTAAGACCATCCATTTCCCAAACAACATATCCCTATCAAACGCTGTATCTCTGGTGCTTTGATGAGGCCTGGCACATGGAGAGAGCTGAACAATATCTGTTGGATGCAAGGGTAAAATAGTAAAATGGAACTCTAGTTTGAAAGAGGCTATGTTATTACAACACCTCAGCTGTAGACAGAAGTTACGTTAGTAGTCTGTCAAACTAAAAAATACCCATCAGAGAATTACACTGTTTACAAAGTAGTCATCTTTCTTTTAAAAATAATACTGGGTGATTCTTTTCTGTAAACAAGGAAGGAAGGAAAGGAGGGAGGGAGAAAAAAGGTGACCGTGTGATCCAGCCAATTTGCTTTATAATAGAAGTTTTACTGCAACATTGTTGGAGGCAGCATTCTTTAATAGCTAAATCACACATCAAAACACCATTAATCCCTGACGCTGGCAAGGTTTTCTTAAGCTGACACACACACTGCAGATGCAGTTTGCATCTTTGCATCATTAGAGCTCTTGCCAAGAGTAGCCTTTTTAAAATTAAGAGCAGTTTCAAAAGAAAAGAGTATCTTTGACCTGACTAGAGATGGAATGCTGCACACTCAGACAGCAACATTTCATCTCTTCCCACCTCCCTGGCCCTCCAGAGTACAGTACCACAGAAAGCGGGACTTACTAAAAGACAGCTGTGAAACTGAATATCCCCTGAAATGACACGGAGTACAACCGCTTCATACACATACACTGAAGAGTGGAGCTTTCAGAGACCGGGCGAATTTTCCAGTCACTTTCTCTCATTGTGTGGATTCTTAGTTGTCCAAAAAAACCATCTGCCTCGTAACACTCCACAGCTTTAACCACCATGGCATGCTGATGACTTCCAAATTATTACGGCCAGCCCTGTCTTATCCCCAGAACTCCAGGCTTATATAAACTATGGCCTATTTGGACCTGGACCTGTACACTGAAAAGATCTCTCAAATGATTGAGGCCAACACAGAACTCGTGAAATGACCCCCAGACTTGCCGCCCTCCTCCACTGGTCTTTACCGCCTCAGTAAATTGTTCCACATCCACACGATCACTTCAGCCAAAAACCCAGGTGCTATTCTTTTTTTTTTTTTTTTAAAGATTTTATTTATTTATTTGACAGAGAGAGAAATAGCGAGAGCAGGAACACAAGCAGGGGGAATGGGAGAGGGAGAAGCAGGCTTCTTGCCGAGCAGGGAGCCCGATGTGGGACTCGATCCCAGGACCCTGGGATCACGACCTGAGCCGAAGGCAGACGCTTAACGACTGAGCCACCCAGGCGCCCCCAGGCGCTATTCTTGATTCTGTTTGTTCTTTCACTCCCTGCATCTCAACTGGCAACAAGGTCTGTCGGTTCCACTTCCAAAATTTATCCCCAGTGCACCCACTCCTCTCCAACTATATCGCCAATGACCTTCCCCAAGCCACCACATCTCTTGCTTTATAACTGGTCTACCTACTCCTACTCTGAATCTCTGTAACCCACTCATGACAGCAGCAAGGTGATCTTCTAAAATCACAAATCAGATCACATCACACGCCAGCTTAAAACCTTTGCCCAGCACACCTACTATTCAAAAAGTTTACCATTAAACTTAGTATAAAACCCAATTCTTTTCTTGCTTGAAAGTTCTAACAGAATTTGGCCCCATTCCACCTCTGTGATTCACCTTGTGTCTCTGCCAACTCCAGCTGTCCCACTGAGATCACATGAGACCTCTCAATGCTCCCTGTGCCAACAGCGCAGAGTGCTCTGACCCCAAGCCTCTGTGGACCGCATTGCTTCCTACTATTTAGGAATCAATTGTAAAAAAGTCATCTCCTCAGGAAAGCCCTCCTTATGAAATCTGAAACAGCCCATCACAATATCTACCAAAACAATATCTGCCCTTTGGCACATCAATCCATTTACAGGAATCCATCCCAAAGAAACACTGGCAAAAACAGGCCAGAGACAACCAGACACGACTGCCTCCTGCTGTAAGTATACAATACCACCAACCAATCTTGAAATGCAAACACACACACACGCACACACACACACACATCTGATCAATCTTCTCTTGATCTTACTTCCAATCTATAGGAAATACAGGGGGCACAGGAACGTGCAATCAGCAAAATCTACAATAAAGACACAGGGAACTAGCCAGGATAAATGATCCATTTTCTTCAACAAAAATTATTGGTGTGGGAGGTGGGACCGAGGAGAGAGAACACACTGAAGAGGAACTAACAAACTAAAAGAAATTGAAGAGAGAAATAATCCAATTTCAGTCAATGACCCTTATTTGGACCCAGATTCACGAAGACTGTTTAAATAAGAAGAAATAATTGGTCAAGTTTAAAACCTTCTATTTTCGATACTTGAATGACTATTGTTAATACCGTACAGTTGTTAGAACAGTATTCTGAATAAGTGTTTAAAGTGAGGATATATCTTTTAGAGACATATACTGAAACAGTTACGGATGAGTCATATAATGTGGGACTTTGCTTCAAAATAATAGGGTAAGGCAGAGAAAATGGGTAGGGGTAGAGTAGAAACAAGACTGGTCAGAGTTGGTAACTTTTGAAGCCAGGCGATGATTGGATGGAGGGTCATTAGACCAATCTCTACTTCTGTTTATGTTTGAAATTTTCCACAATAAAAGTTTATTTTAAAGCCAACCAATTCCTCACTATAACACTATTTTATTTCTCAAAATATTGTTACAATGTAGTTTTTGATTATTCATTTTGTGTTGACTGTCTACCTCTCTATAAATATAAGCTTTATAAGAGCAAAAGCTTAGTCTTTACTGTTTTTATCCCCAATGCCTAGAACAGTGCCAGGTTCCTGATCAATACTTCTGAATGAATAAATAAAACATCTGGGATCCCCCCGTAGAGTTTTAAAAGATGCTAACTTCACCGTGGCCAACAAAGCACCATGGGAAATATGATGACACTAGCCAGAAGGAGCTTACCTTCACTTCGATGAAGTCGGGATTCCCCAGGGACACCAGCTCAGCATAGGCCTGGAGTTCATCCACATTCCATGCTTTCACTAGAGTCAGTCTGTACACAGTACGCTGTTGCTAAAACAGAGGAAAAGCCAACTTTGTTTTTATCTTGGTGGAAGTCACACCTAGGAAGATTCTCAAATTTCTTCAATGAGAACCCAGCTTAGGTGAAATTCAGTATGAACTTTAGTAAGTCGAAGTTATATTTTGTAGAAAGATGAAAAAAATGTACACAATATAGTAAGATTCCCCTAAGCCTTTTAGGGGCACAGATGCTAGCATTTATCTTTTCTCACTCATAATCTCTAACACTAGACTAGGCACCCAAATGTTTCTTGACAACCACACAATGAATTAGATTTAGTAAGGAACAGCAAATTGACCAAATAGTTTAAGACTGTTGAAAATTAATTCAAATAACCTTCAGGCTTTCAGGTACCAATCACTCAAGTGTTTATGATAAGAATTTCTAATGACTCTTGTCCTCTTTCCTGCTCTCTCGTCATTTAATGATCTTGTTGGCAGAAAAGGCACATTTATGAACTGTCAGTGTTGTCACCTGTTTACCCTTTAACCAAAAGAGGTACTGGTTTTCTGAAAAGCAATTAGACACCAGACATCAAAGGCTTTAAAAAGTTTATGCTCTTTGACTTTGTAACTCCCTTCCAGGACCCAAGACAAATTTTTAAATGTTCAAAGGCTTATTTCAACATCTCAGAACATTACTAATAATAGTTGAAAACCTAAAGCAAGAGTGGGGGGCAGGATCTATGACTTGCCTCTAACCAATAGTGTATGGTAAAGGTGATGTGATGTATGTGCTTATGTGTGAATGATTACATCCATCTGCAGCAAGTTCTCGGGCAATATCCATGCTTTAAGTAGCAAGGTTCAAAATACTTGAAAGAAAAACAAAGTGAGGTGAGAAATGAACAAAATGACATCAACCTCTCTACTTTTATCTATGTTTGAAGATTTCTATAATTAGTGAAAAAGAAGAAACACTTGAGATCTTTAGTGAAAAAAACTAATGAACAGTATTAGGCAGCCATACCATAAAATTTTCTCAAAAATTATTTTAAAATACAGTATATAATGCATGAAAAGACAGAAATCTTCCAAATTCCTCTTACATAACTAGAATTCATCTAACAAAAATGGCAGAGAACTGCAGACCACTCTCATTTGTACTTATATACACAAAAATCTTACAGAAATTTTAGCAGATAAAATTCAGCACTATGTTAAAAATTCTAGGAATGTGGGGCGCGCCTGTGTGGCTTAGTCAGTTGAGCGTCCGACTCTTGATTTCAGCTTAGGTCATGATCTTGGGGTCGTGGGATGGAGCCCCGCATCGGGCTCTGCGCTCAGCGAGGAGTCTGCTTGAGATTCTCTCTCCCCCTCTCCCTCTGCCCCTCCCCGGGCTCATGGTCTCTCTCTAAAATAAATAAATAAAATCTTAAAAAAAATTCTAGGAATGCAAAGACGATTCATTACATGGTTCAACACAGAAAAATCCACGTGATCATCTTCAGAGATACACAAAGATATTTGATATAACTTAACAGCCATCCCTAATTTTAAAACAAAGTAGAATAAACAATCAAAGACCATCTGGTAACTAAACAATTAAAACACGTTCTTAACATAAAGAAAACACTTTCCAGTCAATAGTCAAATTCATTCTCAGTCATTTAAAAAATACAGGCATTCCCATTTAGTCAGACTAACAGAAGAATGTCCATTCTGTTGTTTTTATCAACACTTCCCCTGAAAGTTAAAATCAAAGCAATAAGGCAAGGGAACAAGAATTATTGGATACTATACAAAAAATAATTACTTGCAAATGATATAACTGACTTCTTGGAAACCTAAGAAAGTCAACTAAAAAAATTATGCTACGGAAAAGTGGCCAGTTACTAAATAAAAGTATAAAAACGAACAACTTTCCTGGCATAGATTAGTGGAGTAAATATGGGTGCTGGGGCCAGACTGAATCCCAGACCACATACTTAGCTACCTTTACCCCTCTGTTCTCAGTTTCTTCTTTTTTTTTTTTTTAAGATTTTTATTTAATTACTTGAGAGAGAGCACAGAGAGAGAGGGAGAAGCAGACTTCCTGCTGAGCAGAGAGCCTGACGTGGGGGCTCGATCCCAGGACCCCCGGGATCATGACCTGAGCCGAAGGCAGATGCTTAACAACTGAACCACCAGGCGCCCGTGTTCTCAGGTTCCACCCTATGTAAAATGGGGGTCCTACACAGGATAAAAAGCATGAATCCATGTAGAACTTAGAACCCAGACTGACACCAGTAGGTCCTAAACAGTATTAGCTACTAGATCCCAGCAATGACCACTATGAAATGCAAGGCAAGGCAAATTCTACTTAAATTGTAAAATACATTTATAAAATACCTAGTAATTAGTTTGTGAAATAACATGGACAGTCAAGAAAATAAACTTTTCTTTCTTAGAGAGTCAAAAGTTATATGTGCGTTTTTTACTGGAGGGCGTCAATACCCCTAATATCCACATTGTTCAAGGGCCAACTGTATAAATGATACACATATCTTATATATTACAGTATATTATATGTATTATAGTATACTATTATATATAACATATAATGGATATATATCATACCCAAAAGAATGAACAAACTTCATAATACAAACTAACCTATCCAGTGGCCTTGATAAATTCACTTAATTTTAATTGTTTATTTTACTGGACTTTGTATACAAAATGTCATCTGCAATAAAGTTTTTTTACTTCAAAAAAAAAAAAAAAGAAAAGAAAAGAAACTTTTCTGAGACCTAAACAAAACCTCACCTACATGGAGAGCCATGATAGATTTATAAGCAGAATGTTAACTCCAGTGGGAGTTTAAAATTCCTTTGAACAAATAAACTGGCCATGATACCAACGGTAACAATAGCAGGAGTTAGCAATCACTTAGCACTTACCACACGCTGTGGTTTTAAGTGGTTAATATCATAGCAAAGATTCCAATATTTGTCCAATCTTTACAACAAATCTTACAAAATAGGTCTGATTATTATCTTCACATTACAGTTATGAAATTGAGGCCTAGAGCGGTTGAATGAATTTCCCAAAGTTACACAGCTGGAAAGCAGCAAGGCTGGGATGTGAACCCAAAGAGTACGGCTCTCTCTAACCCTAACCCTAACCTTTTAAAATTGTGAAATGAAACATACAAAGAGAAATGTATATAAAACATGTATGTGTAGCTAAAGGGGTTAATATAAAGAAAACACCCATCGCTCAGCCGCCATCTGTTCCCTTTGTCCCAAAGAAACCTAATATCCTGATGTTCACATTACTGTTTTAGATTTTTGCCTGTTTGAAAGCTACATAAATGGAACCATTGTTCTTTTGTGTCTTGCTTCTGTCATTCAACGTATTTATATAAAATGCATCCATGTCACTGGATGTTGACATTTTCTCATTTTCTTTGTCATCCAGTATTCCATTATTGGAATATACAACAATTTATTCAACCATTCCCCCACTGATAGACATTTGGATCACTTCCACTTTTTAGCTGTTACATAAAAAATGCTGTTACATTTTTATGACACTGGAGTTTAATTCTGCCTGTTCTAAGAAACTGTATGAAATGCTATTATGACATATATTCTTTTAGGTCTGGCTTCTTTCATGGAATTTGACATTTGTGAGATTATCCATACTGTTGGACCTAGCTGTACAGACATTTTCATTCCCATTCAGTGCTCCATTATACGAATATACTACTAGTGAAAGTTGCCTGTTTTTTCCCAGTTTGGATCTCTTACAAAATAACGTTGCCATCAGCATTATTATACTTAACTCTTGGGATGCACGAGAGCACATATTTTTCTTGGATGCACCTCAGAGCAGAAATGCCAGGTCACTGGATGTGTATTCACGCAATGCTAGCAGATACTGCCAGCCCAGCTCCCGAAGTCATTCCACCATACTTTCACCCGCCGTGTCTCGGAGTTCCAGCTTTTCTTCACAACACTTGGTGGTGTTAGTCTTCAAATTCTGCCACCCTTGCATTGTTTTATTTTGTATTTGCCTGATTACTAAAGAAGTTGATTATGTTTCTGGCCATTTGGATGTTGGCTTTTGTGAAGTACTTGTTCTAGTGTTTTTAAATATTTCTCTAACGGGCTGTCTTTTTCCTATTGATTTTTTTTTTTCAAATTCTTTTTATATTCTGGCTATAAGAGGGCTATTATAAATGTCTTAGAAATATTTCTACACACTTTATGGCTTTCCTTTTCACGTTCTTCGTATCTTTTGATCAGCAGAAATAACTAATTTTCATACCTTTTTATCTATAGCATATTTATAATCAAATCACTGTAGACAAAGAAAAGCATTATGGAGTTACTGGAAAAGGAGTATTATTGGACTTGATTAGATTAGTTTATTTCAAATTATCAACTTCACATTCTGGGTTTTGCTGTGTCTGTGGGGAGCTTGCTCAATGGAATCATTTCAGAGACTTTATTTAAAGTCTGTTTAAAATTAGTTAAAGCAGTTCCTAAGGCTCTAGGAGAACAAAAGGGTGTTAGACTAGTTAGATTAGATTAAAACAAAAACTGGGTGCAGATGTTGCTTGAAAGGTGAAAGCTGGAATTTCCTTTGCAAAGGAAATACTTAACACTGTTATTTTATCCTTCTTTTTGTTAAAAAAAGAAAAAAGTGTAAACTGGATGGTATTCATTTAATTTGAATTAAACTTGGTTTTTTTTTCCAGTTTGGGGATTTAGTACTTTTAATTTGCATAGGCTCTGGAATGGTTATTACTGCAGAATTTTCTGAATGTGGCGTATTATCTGTAGGGACAGGTATAGTGTGACACCACAGAATACAAAAATGAGCATGAAGGTATTTAATTCAGGCAAACAGTTTAGCTACTTGCTGTTTAGTGTTCAGTGTTATTTGTAAAATGTCACAATGTGATTTGTCAAAAATGTCAAGAAGTTGGCATGTTATAATTTCATGTATTTTCTGTTAAATTTGAGAGTCTAAGATACCCCCGACCTGCCCAGTGGTGCACA